TGTTGCATTATGGCCAACATATATTTTATTATATCTTTTATTTGATGTATGTCAACTTAGTACTTACCCCCGTAGCCAACTTGCCCTGTCACCCATACCTACTTAAGTTTCACGCATGCATAGTAACCTATACTTTTTTTTTTAAAACCCCTTATTTTCCACCTAGTATTTTCTCATGAATGTGGTCGAACAAACTTCTAACGTACAGTTTTCGTTTTGACTGTGCAACCTATATAAATACCTACAAATAACATTATGAAAATAAGGTGAAATTATTAGTTTATGTTTCAAAATAATCTATCAAAAAATATATGAAGAAAAAGTTAAATTTAAAAATTAGTTGTAAAAATTTACTATCTACGTACTATAGTTCTGATAATATCAAAAAAGTTTGTAATTATCAAAAGTAAAATCAATGTATTTTAGTATATTCTTATATAAAAAAGACATTATGCCGCATATGCGTTGGCTTCGTCTTACAAACATCCAACATATAAATCAAAAACTGTTTTGCACGGGACAACTTTACTCCCTCTATATTTATAGTAATATAGTAGAATATTACTGAAATTACACAACGCATAAGGTGTTTTAGTGTTTTTTTTTTCACAGCATTAACTAATGGTTTTTAATAATTAAATAAAAAAGAAACTATTATTTTCGCAAATTGATTACTTTAATTGTATTTATGTTATCCAAATAATAAAATCGCTACGACCCAGATAAAGTTCTTCCATATGCATGTGGGAATTTAGTAGGTAATTAATAATTATACTATAAATACAGAATAAATAGAGTAATCCCGTATTCCCTTTTAAAACAGTTTTTGCTATATGTTTTAAATTTATTGACGGAAATAACAAATGTAAGTGTGGCGTCCTCTTAAAAAACCTAGTTCAATCATGCTAAAAATTATAATTAAATATAGTTTTACTCTATGATAGGTTTAAAATTTTAGGTATTTAATATTCAATCACTCATCAATATTAAAATATCTAATATTTTACACAGTCATTTTTGACATGTATATTATGTCTCATGGATGGAGTCATTAAGTCATTCTATAAATTKATGTGACGTCGAGAGCCTTACAATTACATCATTTTGATCATTTTGTATACATAGCAACCTCATTATAATTTTTAGATTCTAAGCATAACGGTAATAATTCATAGTTTATAATAATTATATTAATGAACTYAGACTTCCTGTGCCGAATGAAATCAGTGATCGCATGACATAAACAAGTATCAATGTATTTACAAGGAGCGTGAAAACTTTCTTTTTTTTCTTTTGGTTCAAGCAGTAAAACATATGAAAAACAATAAAAATTCTTAAATGTATAGACATTGGCCGTGTATACATTTAAATCTGATARTACATATACTTTAGAAGCTGAGATTCTATAGCATAAGACCGTCAGCCATTATATATAACTAAGTATAAATAATGATATTAATATATTATAAAAAAATTGAATATTTCAAATGTCTATAAATACTCAACAAAGTTGCGTTAATATTCACTTTTTCCATATTTTTTTCCCCGTTATTTAAAAATGTACTAAGAATTTTTAATTCTCGTCCTTCAAAAGCATCAACCTGATCTAATTTGATATCAGAAACCACTCTCAAAATGTGAAAATTGAAGCTTTTTTCTTCTACTTTTCGTGTACACCAATTAAATGAGAGGCTTGCTTTTAAAATCTTAATAGTAAGTATTTCGCATTAAAAATAACAAATATTATAAGTATGTGCACTCTTTAGTATTTTGATGAAGATATGAAAATCATGATTAAAATATATATATATATATTTTTATTGAACAACTCAGTGCAGAGCTATCAATGTTTATAATCTTAGAGATTCGGTAGTACACTGGATACTATTTCTTTTTCTTCTTCTTCTTCTTCTTCTTCGCCTTCACCTTCCTCTCAACTATTTTAAAACTTTAAAAACTAATTTTACTGTTGTATATTATAATGTGCATTGTATAYATTATAATACCATTATTATCGATGTCATGAAGCATTTATAAAATATTTAAATTTATAATATTATTTTCCATGAATAAGATTACTCTATTATAGGTATAGGTACTAACTATTAAGTCACTAAGATACTAAACTTATTTTCCTAAGCTAACCCTCGGGCCTTGACTATCTAAAGTAATCACACTACTTGTATAAGCACTGTCTTTTAAAGTTTAAAACAATCATTTATAATACGTACACGAGGTTATATTTTCTCAATAAAATATGTTCAATTTGTGTTTGAGATTCTTATTAGTGTATAGACATTATAGACCAATATTTTCAATAAAATTATTTTATATCTAGTGACCTGCAAGTTGTAGTGTAGGAAGAATTATCATTGTTAGTTATCATTGTTACTCAACTCGTGTATAAAAATAATTCAGTTAATAAATATTTAAATTTAAATAACCATAAATTTCAAATAGAAAAATATTCAAATAAATGTTAGGAATGCGGATAGTTTAAGTGTACGAAAAATATTCGGTTATATTTTTTTAGCTACTCACTTTTTATTAAAATATACTGTTCAGAACATCAATGGGAAGTTAAAAAACTATCCGAACACCTTGTACATTGCCTAATCACTACGACGTTACCAAAGTTTAAAGATTAATATTTTTGTTAATTTATTTTCTTCTAATCCTATTTACCCATGAAATAAAAAGACGTAATATTATTATCTTATTAATTTTCTTTTTGTAGGAAAAGAGGTAGATGTCTCTCTATCATTGCACATCAATCGAATATCTGGCGTAGATGAGAGCAAAGAGGTAAACATTTTACGAAATAAAATAATAGTTAATTATTATAATTTATATTTATTTTACAAAAAGCGATTCCCCGTTTTCATGCATGCTCATATTATTTATAATATATGTATTTATAATTTATTCAAAATTATTATTATTGGAATTGTTTAATACAGTTGCATGCCCAAGGTGGGGAGGTTAGGGTTATATCTCCGCTCCGTTGTCCGATAAAACCCTTTAGTTCATTATTTTTGTTTTTATTATAGCGTAATTTAAATATATAGTTAATTATAATATCTCCTATCCTGTTGAAAAYTTCTGGGCACGCCACTGGTATTGTATTCACGTTTAAATAACTTATTTTAAAAATATTGGATTTTTTACGACACGCGACATTTAATATAATTGAACTATACCTTGTAAGTTTGTTTTTTTTTCGAATAAGAACTTTCTTTTTACGCAAAGTAAATTATCAGGTGAAATTTATGACACATATTAGATGTAAGTCTGTAATTATATTTGGTAATATGGTCTTCATACGAATACACACTCAAACATTTGAATAAATGTATTTATAATTCAACCTGTAGAGTGTAGAGTACGCTAGTATGATATTTTTAGTATATCACCAAGTAGCTAAAATATCGATAATATATTATAGTGTATTTGTGTCTGATTTCATGTGGACAATAATAATTATAGTAAGTATTTTTCAGGAAATAGCGCTGGACGTATTTCTGCACGTGTACTGGGAAGACCCTCGGATCTGGATTTTGGGAAACGCGAGCCAGGTGGAGCTGACCTGGGACAAAGACCCGAAATTCTGGATCCCTGACCTGTACATCAGGCAATTGAGGGAGATGAAAGTGCTTACGCTGTTTCAGGACTTAGCGTCGATACGTTTGTACGACAACAGCACTCTCCGGATTAGCATTGGGTAACGGACACGAACGATATACGAAATAGTAACCACCTAGTCTCTATCTCAAATATCTATTGTATATATATATATATTATGTATATAAATTATATATACATACATGCATTGTATTATATTCTACAGAGCGACCATAATAATCAAATGTGACATGGACTTCGTACTTTATCCATTGGACGTACAGACTTGCGCTGTAGACTTCGGCAGCTGTAAAYACAACTTTTTTWAATTTTTTTTTATTCTTAATTCATGTATTCGCAGGGTTGTTGTATTACGCATCTTAGAATGGACTTTTTTAAACTCATAATTACTGGAAACAATAGATGATAAGTGGAAAGCTGCATGCAGAGGAGTTCCTAACCAAAATTAAACAAAAAAAACTTTTTTATTGTAAATGGAATCGARGCCCTCCTCTTACACTTTTGTTATAAATTTAACCCAAAAAATTAGAAAGTATTTCTATCTATACAAGATACAGCAGATCCATATCAATAGATGTAAGTAAATAGGTAGTAATTTTTATGTAATGGAACAGCTGAAGTTCATTGAGACAATGTCTAGTCTCCCATAGATCTATGTCTCTGTGCAGGAACGCCCGGAGGGAATTCAAATGCACCACCTGGGAATTGTATTAATTTTGATTTTTCAAGTAAATAATGAAATAAAAAATGCTTTCTGTCTTAATTTCTGTCCATGGTTGTATACTTATACCCAATATAGTAAATATTAAATACTTATTCTGAGAAACCGGCTTCTATCACACTTTAGTACTGACTACTTAGGTACGATCATTTAAGAATATAAATTGTATTCATATTTTAATTGCATTTTGGAACAATTACAGTAAATGCTGAAAATTTCAATTAAAATTTTAAAATTTATTATAGAGATGAACTTATAAAAATAGCTATGCACTACAACAAACAAAAATGCATTTCCTGGAACTCTAAAGCTCTACTTGGACATAATATAAAAAATGAAACTAACGAGTCATTAGTGTGTCTTGTTGTGATAA